TAGCAGGGGAGATAACTCCCACATGTGAATTCGAAAAAGCATAATTAAAGGTCTTAATCCATTCTAAGCATTGATGAAAAGTCAGTTTGAAAGAAATTGAATTCTTTAATCAGCACTGAACATGTGTGATTGTTTTTGGATTGGGAATTGTTTTTAATAAATTTATTTTTCTTATCTCAGAATAATATTTATCAAATAATAGGATTTTACTTAATTTGTAAGTAAAATATTATTTGTTAGATACAAATGAATGCTAATATCAATTAAGGCTAGGCTTTGTAAACATCAATATTTTTTTTGGCTTTACTTGTTCAGAGAGTCAATTCGTAGTTGATTCGGTTTAAAGCACATCAGATATAATGACAATTTCTCCTGCACAGGGTAGCAGAAGTTCAAATGCTACTGGAGGGTGTGTCTTTAATAAGATTTCTCAAATATTCAAGCCAGTTGACGAAAATAAATAAATACTGTTTAATAAATAAACAAAGTAGATTGTTCTAGTTCCACATGCCATGCCTCAAAACAGTCTACCCCGATGGATGAAATAAAGGGTTCAGTTCGAAATTTCAATCACCTGAATAAGGCTGGAGTGTACAACGTCCGAAACGTTGTGAATATGGCAAAGAAAGTGAGGGATAACAGTCTGAATAATGTAAATAATATATTTAATCATAATACCTCATCTCAGAGATATAGACAGATAAATAAACAGAGTGTCGATTCAAATGAGTTTCCACTAAAAATAATGTTTAAGTAATAAAGTCTGTCAGATTAATAAATAAAAAATCCCTTACTTTTTTAGAAACACCAACATAAAAAATAGGTTTACCTCATGCTTGAAAGACATTACACATTGTACCTGAGATGAGTGTTCAAACCCAGATAAAAGCCAATGTTTCAAATGCCGATTTTCAAAGCAGGCAGATAGGCATAACACAATCTGCTCTCAGTTCTCTCCATTGACCTTTTGCCAGATTAGGTATAATTTTATATCTCAGTGGCCGGCTTCATAATTTCTACAGTCCTGTAACTACTTCTGGTGTCAAAGGTCAGTTCAAGCCAAACTAAAAAAAACTAGGATTCGGAATGGTGATTATCAAGAAAAGTAGGACCTCCCCTTCTGATAAACGGGTTCAACACAGTCTTTTACCTTCATTTCTATCTATTTGGCTATCAGATATATTAAGCTATACAATCTGTCACAAGAATCAAATCATAAAAAAAAAAGAAAGTTAAACCAGATGGATTTCACCTGGAGGTGTGATGCAAACATTGTGATAAAAAGCATCAAGAGAACAAGGAAAAATGTCCAACTTTAGAACAAGTATGCTGGAGTTGTGAAAAGAAAACCAATTTCCAGTCTGTATGCAAGTATAAAAGATAAATAGAAAAGATAGAAAATGTATCCCCACGCCTCCCCCACCCCTCAGGAAAATACACCTGCATTTGCGATACAAAGACATAAACAGAAAAGTGTCAGAGATTGATTGAGATTTACGGCATATCAACCTCAATTGGTTATTTAATGCCAACAAAATTTTTATTAATGGTAATATTTTTCTTCAAAAAAAAAAAAAAAAAAAAAAAACTATTTCTAGCAATATCCTTTCTTTTAAAATCGATTGCAAGTAATATTTTCCAAAAATGAATTGCTGGTAACATTTTTCCAAAAACATATTGCTGGGAATATTCCTTGTATTGCTGATAATATTATATTTCCTTCAAAACTATATTGCTGGTAATAACACTTTCTTCAAAAACGTACTACTGGTAATAACTTTCCTTCAAAAATGCAGTGCTGGTAAGAATTTTTCCTAAACAATGAATAGCTGTTAATAATTTTTCCTTCATAAAAGTATTCCTGGTAACCAAAAGTATTCCTGGTAACCAAAAATGTATTTGTTGGAAATTATTCCTGGTAACCAAAAGTATTCCTGGTAACCAAAAATGTATTTGTTGGAAATTATTCCTGGTAACCAAAAGTATTCCTGGTAACCAAAAATGTATTTGTTGGAAATTATTCCTGGTAACCAAAAGTATTCCTGGTAACCAAAAATGTATTTGTTGGAAATTATTTTCTTTTTTTGTTTTTTCTCCAAACTAGGTTATAAAAACAAGAAAGCAGATTTAGTAAACTATTTTTTTTTTTTAAATTTTCCTGTAGGGCCCAATTTCTTTAATGAAATTTATAATATTACGTGGGTGAAGTGTCCATCATTTCTCTGCTCTCCAACCTATTAGCATTTTGTTTCTTGTTATATTTTGTTCTTTGAACTTCTTTTCTTTCTGATTGTTTGTTTGATTTTGTTCCCTTAAAAAGATCATTAAAAAAAACTAATGGAAAATATTAGGTTCTTTTAATGATCTTTGTATGGATGATGACCGTTCCCTTGTTTGTGATGGGCTAAAGTTTTGTTCCTTTATGTCCATTTCTCTTGATTCTTCACTAAAAGTTGAGTTATTTTTTATTATGTACCTTTTGATTCTTTTGAAAATATTTAGAGGTTTCTATTTCTTGGAGTTTTTTACTTTGGTTTGGAATTTTCAGATTTAATTGTTTTGTACATATAGAGACTTTTTTGTTTGAGGTTGATGAGACAGGATTTTTTTTGTCTATAGGCATTTGATTTACAAGTGATATACTACATTTTAGTAGTTCTACTAAACTTTTTAATTCATTAATAAGAGTTATAAGATCTTGGCTTCTTAATGTATTGTTTTCTTGGATGACTTTTTGTTGATTTGATATTTTAGTGATATTTGCATATGATGCTTGAAATGAATTAAATTTAATCTGTTTCCTGGCTTCTTGGAATGAGATATTTTGTATGTATTTTCTTCTAATTATTTCCTTTTCCTTTTTCCAAATGTTACACTCTTTGGAGTCTACTGAATGTTTTTCTTTACAGTTTAGACATAAAGGAGGCCTTTCACAAGGTGATTCATCATGCTCAGTTTCCAGTTCCCCACATCTTCGACAGACTGATGTTCTCGTACAAACATTTTGAAGATGACCAAATTTTTTACATTTATGACATCTACAGGGGTTAGGAATGTATGGCTCTACCTTGGCTATTGTGTAATCTATCTTTATTTCTTTTGGTAGAGTTGGTTTGTCAAAATGTATGTGTTGGCGTTTATTACTGTGTCATTTTCTTTTTACTTGCATTCTTTTTACCTCTGTTACTCCTTGCTTTTTTAGGGTGTCGTCATTTTCAGTTTCTTCTGATGAACAAAGTGACAGTTCTGGGCATTTTATTACTCCTTTTGATGAATTAAGAAATTGATGGGGGTAGGCCTCAACTTTATTGTTCTCAATTTGCTTCATTTTTAGCAATTTCTCTGCATCTTTTTTGGATATCACTTGAATTAATACAGTATTATTTTTCTTTATTTTTTTAACAGATTGTGGTTTGATCATGTCCGAAATAGCCCTTTGCAATACGAAAGGAGATACTTTTGATATATCACCCTCTACTGATTCTACAACAACGAAAGTTGGAAATTATTATTATTTTTTTTTTTTTTATTTCATTTTCGCTTTCAGAAGTCTCATATTGTCTCTTGGTTCACTTATAAGAAGTAGCCATATAATTTTAATTTTTGTATTGGCTGTCTGTACTCCCCACCGACCTCAAAGTTCCTTCTTAAGGGACCCTATCAGGGGGGGCTGATCCCATTCGCCCTAATCCGCCAGGGCTACACAGACAGTATAGTTGTGATGAGAGTGGATACGAGCACCTGCACTCCCCCACCATATCTACCCAAGTACAGTATGATGTACGGTTTCACAGCCCTGTTGACCCATTATCTATCATCCCAACTAGCCCTTGCCACTATGTGACTAGCCGATTGGAATGGATTGGGCTATTCCATCCGTCCGTCTATCCCAGGTAGTGACCAAAGTGACGTGTTGTGGAAAGTCATGGTCATTTTATACAAGATTAGGAGTCACTCAGTCACCAGGACTCTGTTCCCAAGCATCACGGGTTGCCACCCACTGCAAACAGGTGGCCCCATTTAGGGGAAATTTTAGTTTTTTGAAATTGAAATTTATACTATGATAGTTAATCATCAAAAAGCAGGATAGCACAATGGCCACTGGTCAAGTTTAGGAAAAGCAGCTGACCCAATCTTTGCCCACACTATTAGAAGAGCAGTTGATTGGTGGAATGCTTCCACAATCAATACATTAGGTCAAGTTTAGGAGGTCAACCATTATCTATCCTACATATCCTCATAATATGCACCACTTGCTCCCTCCTTGTCCATCTTTACAACAACTTCAATTAGTAACCTTGAATGGCTCTTGGGCCTTAAATTTGGTGAACAATAGGATAGAGAACAGGAATTAAGAAGACAGAAGACAACGATGGACATTGCATTTAAATTGTTTGAGATCTAAGTTGACTGGAAAGCAAGAATCCGGAAGAGAATTCTACAAGTGAGAAGTGAGATAGAAAAAACTATTAACATAGAACTTATGGTTACATTTAGCCATTTCAACCGTAAAAGGAGAAAACTGTCTCACTAATTTAATAGTACACTTAAATTCATAAAGTTGAGATGCCATGGAGGAAAGTTCATCAGAATGATTACAATAAAGTCTTCATAGAAAAGGTACAGAGAAACTATATTACAATATTGGGAAATTGACTGAAACCAAGATGTCAGCGCTACTAACATTGCGAATTTTTCTTTAGATTTTGTCAAGAATCTCTAAATATATAACAAAAGCACCAGACCAGATGTAGCAGATATATTAAAAGCATGGACAAATGGTAGATTATAAATACGTAAGATAGATTCCGATGAGAAAAATTATCTAGTATGACACAGTGAACCAACTTTCCTACCAGAAGACCAAGCAATTGATTCAATATAATCTTTCTACTTTACGTTAACTTGAGAAGGTACATCATGGTATGGTGGCACCACCAACCGTTACCTTTATATACTGCTACCTCATGAATTTTATGAAATGAGTAAAGGGTACTTACACCGACCCAAGGATTAGCCATCACATCTGCAATGCTATATCTCTTGTCAGGATCCGTTTTTAATAAACCTTTGATGAGGTCTTTGGCTATAAAAAAAAAAAAAAACATTTAAATGAGTTTCCATCAAGCTGTTACATCATCATTAAACCATCTGTTAAATGTGTGAAATATACTTTTGACATTTTGTGTGATATATCTTATAAATTTTGGTCATCAATGTTTCAACTCTCCTACAGAGGCTTGTAAATTGAAGTGGGTTTTTATGACCCATGGATATGGAAAACTGACTCAATACCCACTTCACTGAGTTGACAGATAAACACCTGTAAAAAAACATTTTTCACTATATTTTAAGTAAAAATTAAAGGAAACTATATTAAAATCCAGTTAAATAATATTTAAATGAAATAATTTTTTTTTGACTGAATTTCTGTGATGTGGAGTTACTGTTATTTTACATTATTTACGCTGTGACTAATATCATCATCTTTGTTGTTGTTATTACATTTAGGCCATTGTACCGTCTGGCTTTATTATTCAGGTGTCAGTCAATCCATGTTACCATAAAGAAATTACAAACACTTTATTTAATCTATGGGAGTAGAAGATTCTTCTTCTGTTGTCATGTTGTTTTGTTCTTATTTAGTACAGCTTACAGCCACATCAGGTTGAAACACCGGTTTCCATATGATTACTGAAGTTAAGCAACATCGAGCCTGGTCAGTACATAGATGGGTGACTGCTTGGGAATACCAGGTGCTGTCAGACTGGATGTGCAGGTGGTGTAATGGATAATGGCTTGGAATTCTTAATTGGAGAGCAGAGTTCCAATTCTTGTTGTGATTGTTATATTCACTTATGTATAAATATCCTTGAAGAAAGGCATGAATCAAACTTTTTTTTCTTCTGCTATGAGTTAATTTGTAAGACTTTTGTTACTAAATCATTATTATCTTATTATTTCTTATACTCTAAAAATATTTTCAGGTGTTAAATAACCTGTGTATCTAATTATGTTCACTATCGTTCAGACAAATCATATCTATCTCATTCTGTTCATATCTATCTTGATTATATTCAAAACATTTTATATATCTATATAATACATACATTTTAAGACATTTTTAGGTTTATACATTCTTTTTATAGATACAAATATTTAAGTAAATGCTCTGTTTTTATAATAAACAGTATTAACAACATTAACCGGCCTGAATGTCCGATAAATTGTCACAGAAAATATGTGTCCTCCAACAGGAATCAAACCTCTATCCTACACGGAACCGTCATATAGCCTGACATGCTTTTACTGATTCCTGTCAGAGGATGAATATTTTTTATGAAGATTTCTTGGACATTCAGGCTGGTAAATGTCGTTTAATACTGTTTATTATAAAACAGAGCATTTACTTAAATATTTGTATCTATAAAAGAATGTATAAACATAAAATGTCTTAAAATAATTTTTGACTTTGTCCATTTCATAATATATATATATATATATATATATATATATATATATATATATATATATATAAAATAATATATATATATATATATATATATATATATATATATATATATATATATATATATATATATAATACATATATATATAATGCATACATATATGAAGAAATATAGTCTTAAGGTATGCTATATTTATGGGATAAAGTGTTCAATATCAGAGATAGAGTGTGTAAATATAAAAGTGAACATAGAAGTCAACACTTAGAGGCAACAGTCTGTTTCATGTTAAACGTAATCGCTAGGCCTACATATATATATATATAAATAATATATCACACATGGCATATAACTGACTGAGTGAGTATATTTCTTTAATGGCTACTTTATTTTTCATACATATTTTTAATTAGAGATTTAAATGTTTTTTTTCTCTCAGCATACATCAATCATGGTGGTAAAGTGAAAGTTAATTTTGAGTAACAACAATTAACACTAAACATAGATTTTCAAAATACCTGGTCCTGGGAACTTTTACACACACACCTAATTGATAAACAACTGGTGAGTACAGTGAAATTTTATAGAGATTTCAAGAAACTTTTCAAAACTCTTGGTAAAAGGTGGGAGATAAAGCTTACCTTCCTGAGAAATTTGGTTCCATTCCGGACTTGGAAATTCATATTCCCCCTTCCGAATTCTTCTCTTCATTCCAGGAGAAATTGCCAAGCCATGGTTACTGTAGAAAGGTGGGTAGCCACACAGTCTGACAATAAAATAAACAGAGATTTAGTATTAGAATTTGATATTGGTGGTAATTAGTACATAGATTTACTTTTTGTATTTTTATTGTTAACATATTTCTGAAAACTATGAGTGCAAAATGATTTTAAGTAACAAGTGGAGACATTTGTATTTACAACACGTACAGTAAGTACCTCCAAAAATGTTATCGAAAACTGTAGAACATGATGAAAAAAAGGCCCCAGGCTTAATAAGAACAAAGTTTTATCATCTAAATGTTTCTTGTTCTTATTAAGAGGAAAGACTAAAGTATTTTTTGATTATTTTATCAATGTCCAACATTTTAGAGAGAGAAGGAGACACACACACACACACACATATATATATATATATAGTTGCAACCAAAATGTTCAGAACGGCATTGTTTTCATCAGAAAAGTAGGTATAAGTTTTTATCAAAGTTGTTTTATATTCTATAATTTTCACAGACAATAAATACAACAATATTTGTTATTGTCCGAGATTTTGGTATAATTTGAGACCAATATAAAAGATACTCACAATATATACATAATAACTCCTAAAGACCACAAATCACATGAGGTGTCATATTTTTCAGGGCCTAGAACTTCCGGAGCTGAAATAAAAGAGAAAAAATATATATATAATCAATAACTCATGAAGAAAATATTTTAATACAATTCTTCATTTAGTATTTATAAGTCCACCTGATATATTTTTCTTTCAAGCCATAATGAACCATCATATTTTTTTTTAAACAAGTATTGTCCAAAATTGGGAAGAAACAGTAAAGAAGAGATTTAACTTAGAAAATTTAAGAATCACAGGAACAAGGCAAGAGGGATTAAAGGATAGAACAGAATAACCTACTTAGGGAGCGTGCGTAAATGGTTGACAGAACAGAGATTAGGAAAGATAGTGAAAAGAGAAAATTTACTTAGAGCTACAAAAGGACAGGAAATTGTGGAGAGCCATGATCATCGTCTGGAAGGGACACGGTACATAGAAGTCAAAGAATGAGCTTGAGAAAATGGATGTTGGAACAGCATTTAGGAGAGGTAACCAAAAGACAAAATTTATTAAAAGCAACAAAGGACTGGAAATTGTGGAGAGCCATGATTGCCAACATCCTGAAGGGACACAAAACATAGAAGAAAAAGAATGTGCTTGAGTAAATGGATGTTGGAACAAGGTTTAGGAGAAATAACAAAAAGAGAAAATTTCTTAAGAGCTATAAAGGATAGGGAATTGTGGAGAGCCATGATTGTACACGTTCTGAAGGGGCTCGGCACATAGAGAAAGAAGAATGAGCTTGAGTAAATGGATGTTGGAACAAGGTTTAAGAGAAATAACAAAAAGAGAAAATTTATTATGAGCTACAAAGGACAGGAAATTGTGGAGAGCCATGATCACCAATGTTCTGAAGGTACATGGCACATAGAAGAAGAATGAATGGATGTTGGAACAAGGTTTAGGAGAAATAACAAAAAGAGAAAATTTATTAAGAGCTACAAAGGACAGGAAATTGTAGAGAGCCATGATCACCAATGTTCTGAAGGGCAGTAAAATGAAAACAATCTATAGGTTACCCGAATCAACATACACCTAATGAAGTCTTGAGGGCACAATGGCCAAAATGTTGATAATGTCAAAGCTGAAGACAATAGTCCACATATAAATAGTATAATTAATAAGTTTTTTGGTAAAAGTTTAGTAATTTACTGATTTATATATTATAAACATTACATGCTTAAATGCACTAAAAATCCTTTCCCTGTGTAAGCCCTGTTGAAATGAGGGATGCATCTAACATGCCCGTGTTTCTTGTATACTGTCAAACACAGGAATTATTATTTCAGCTAAAACACCAGTGTGATGTTATGGTAGTTGAATTTTTACTAGCAGTAAGCTCCTGTAAGTCACCAGTTATCTCCCTTGTTCCATTGGCCTGCAACAACAAATCTATTTTCTGCAGATTTTAATTTGCTGTTGACATATGACCTTTTAATTTCCAAACGGAGAGGGCCTGCCTACTTGGAAGATTGTGCTGCATCAATTTTGGTGAGCCTTCCCACTTGGTGTTAATTCAGCCAGTGTTCCTGCTTGCTAGTCAACAATGAAAATCATCATTCAAAATCCTGACTTTTTTCAAACATCAATCATTGATATCAGTATGAGATATATGTAACCATGGAGGCAGACCCATAATGTTTCATATGAAATGACCATATGTATTGATTATTGGTATGCATTGATTGGTATATATATATATTAGTAGTAAACCATGAATCCCAAATTATCTTATATGGGGTATAGACCTATTTCAACCAACGAAAACTTTATCAGTCTTATTCAATCTCAGTATATAGACTGAATTTTTATTGGAATTAGAAATTTAACTGTGACAGCCGTTGAAAAATTAATACAGAATTTATTCATTTCAATGTTTCTGTAAGACAAAATGCACAAGACAGTGGTCAGGGGAGGGTAGAAGGCATTAGCCTTAAAGGGAAGAGGTTTTATAAAATTAAACCCAGATATTAACCTTATTACATTAAATTGGGATTATATAAAGATTAAAAATACAAGTTCATACTTAAAAATATTCTTCCAAAGATAAATTATAATTAAAAGTAAAATATATTTAATTAAAAATAAGTTATATTTAGATAATCTATATTAAAATTAAGTAAGATTATATTTTTAAAAAGTTTATAATTAATAAAAATTGGTAATATTAAAGAATAAGAAATATTTAAAAATAAAAATATATCAAGATAAAATAAATTATACATTAAAAAAAAATTTAACTTTAAAAGATAAGTTAAATCAAAAACAAATTATATAAAAAAAACTAAAAATACAAAGTTATATTTAAAAATACATTAAAATATATAGATGAAGAGGTGTAAGTGATAAAAGGAAAGAGTTCTTAGAACAGGGGGCAAGGTATAATTAATATGGTGTAAAAATATAAAAATTAGAATTAGTTATACATTTGAAGAGTTAGAGAAACATAGTAGCTAATAAAGTAAAATCTATATTATGGTAACTTGAATTTATTTTTATGTTGACATTTCAAAACTAATTCATTCCTTTGATTCAATAATTTGCTTTGATTATTTTATTATTCTAATTTTTTCTTGTAAATATAAGTTACACCTATCTCTAACGCTTTTAGGAGTATGTGCAGAATCTTCCAATCTATCTGGGTTCAGACCTTTCTCCTTCAATTTCAAAATTTTTTTTTTTTGAAAGAGCTGTCTGGTCTAAGAGCCAGACCAGTCTGAAAATGGAGTATTGTTGCCATATTTGGGCAGGAGCTGCCCAATCTTCACTTTCCAGTCTTGAAAGAGTTCAAAAGCATCTCCATGTCCTTGTGGTTGATGAATTACTTTCCAGCCTCCAACCCCCCTCTCTCCCAGGTGGGATGTGGCGAATCTCTCACTGCTGTAAATTTAATTCCATGTTAAGTGCTCTGACAAACTGCACCTCCTGGTTCCACCAGGTCTGACCTTCATGACTAGAACCTACCATGCCACTTACATAGTAGCAAAACACCCACATTCCCCCCTGTATTCCTTCGATGAGAAGTTCCACTCAAACAGATTCTTCCTGTGAACTACTGCTCTATGGAACAGATTCCCAAGAGGATGTTTCCCTGATTATTACAATCTTAACCTGTTCAAGTCTAGAGTCCACCGTTATCTTTCCCTCCTATCCATATAAAATACCCCTTAATGTAACCCTCTACAGTGAGTGACTCCTGGGCCTTATACAAGGTGACCCTTACTGTAAAAAAAAAAAAAAAAAAAAAGATATCTGCCATCATGTACCACTTATTTGTGCCCCTGGGCCTTGTACAGGGTGACCCTTACTGTAAAAAATATATATATATATATATATATATATATATATATATATATATATATATACTACTGTGTGGGCCCTGCCTCTTTAAGCAAAGGTAAGAAGAAGGTAACTTCAAATCTACCTCTGAGAGGAGGGATGGTATAATTTAACATCTCCAGTAAAAAAAAAATGAGCAAGCCACTGCACTATTCTGCCACAAATGCCATCATGTCCCACAATTGTGAGATGGAGGGGAATGGTTACCACAGAATAACTAAATAAAAATGATGAATGAACACAACAAAACCTTTAGTCTTTCTACTTACCTGCATAATACGGTGTAAAGCAAGGAGTCTTCAATGACTTGGAAGTATTTGTCTCTTTTGCAAAACCAAAATCAGTTAATTTTAGAATACCATTCTTATTGTTTTCCGTATATAATAAATTTTCTGGCTGCAAAATAAAGAAAGGCAGTTTAAAATTTAGAAAAAATGGAAAAATTCAAGAGAATAAAATTAAAGAGGAGAAACCTCTTTTTTTTTTTTCAATTTCCATCTTAATTTCCGAGATAAGGAATTCTTATAATCATACATGAAAACCCAAATTTCTAGGTGGAATTTGAGAAAAAGTGAAGAGCAAACTGCTGAACTACCTTCACAAAGATTTGCTTAAACCAACACCCCACTCTGCCCCAAATGCTCAGCATCACTTGAAATGCAAGCAATCAATACAATGGACATAAAAGATCAACTTTTATCCAGAAAATGCTGTACTGTTAACCGTGGATCAAAAAATGTCCCAGGATATTGTGGATGTTATGGAGAGAGAACTGAATAACTTGAATGATAAAAATCTATTTGAAGTCGTCAATTTTGAAAAACAGACTACACTATCTTCGTCTCACTGGACAACATCTGAAAAATATAAGGATAGCAAAAAGAAAACTAAAGCAAGATGAGTGCTTCATGGCTTTGAAGAGGACACTAATAATCTTTGAAAAGATTCTCCCACCTGCAGCCTGGATGTTACAATCTAGTGATATAACAGTGGCATTTCTACAAGGGATTCTTTGGAAAGAGAGGTATTTCTATGACCACTTCATGATATCTGTCCAAAAACTGAAGTCTGGTGTCTTAAAAGATGCATCTACAGATTGAACACCCAGATTTTGGTACAAAAGATGTACTCTTACTGTTGGGGGGTACAATTAGTTCATATGACAATGCCTTATTCAAGTGGTATCATAGATCACATGTAGGAATTTTGGTTAGTTATGTGGATGGTTTTACCTTTTGTGGTAATGATTTTTTTCAGGAACAGATCATAGAAAAACTAAAGAGAATATTTAAAGTTAGCACGCATGAAAATGGATCATTGAAATATCTAGGATTGGTTGTTGTGCAAACTCAAAGAGTTCAAAGAAAACAAGAATTGTATATTTCCACAATAACACCAATTAGCATAGCTAAAAATTGCACCACAAGGAAGACAGATGAATTGACTGCAGAAGAGAAAGCTGACTTAAAATGCTTAAGAGGACAAATGATGTGGGTCGCTTTACAAACATAATCAGATATAAGCTATGAAATGTGTGTTACGAGCAAAATACAGGAAAGCATTGAAATGTGAAAATCACCTAGCCTGGAAGATGGGTCTTCCCAGGGTGGAATTGTTGTTTTTATTCAAGGTGAGAACAAGAAAGTAACCCCAATTAGATAACAATCTAAAAAGTTGGACAGAGTAACAGAGTCCATTAGCATTAGTTTGGCTTTAAGTGGCTTTAAGTGAGGCAGCAGATGCAGGATTGTTTGTCTCTTCTTTGTTACAAGAAACTTTTAGTATGGTGTGTATTAAAATAATCAATCAACCAATAATGTTTCTAGTTCCTAAAGTACTAATTAGCAATCCTTTGTCTGTATAGCATTATACTAGTGGCATATTAGTGACAGAAGATTAAGAGTGAACACAGCAAGATTGAGAGAAATGGTGTCAGAGGGAGAAATAAAGGTGTTTTGTGTGGATGGAATATTACATTTGGCAGATTCCTCGACAAAAAGAGGTGCTTCTGCATTTAAATTGTTAGAAGTACTTGGTACATCTCAATATTGAAAAAAAGAAAAAGTTGAGCAAAAGAAGGGAGCTGCAATGTGGATTATCAGTTATCTCCCTTGAACTATTTCTACAAAAATAACTCTTCGGTGAGCCTTGACTTCTTGGAAAAGATAGTGGTTTCCTGTCACTTTCATGGTTTTAAATTCAGGATTCCAAATCAAGACCTTATTGTATATTGAAATATTTGCAATGTTGTTTCAAGCTCTTGTTGCTAATTAAAATATTTGCAATGTTGTTTCAAGCTCTTGTTGCTAATTAAAATATTTGCAATGAAAAATTAATCCCTCATTGTTTATTGGAATATTCTTGATGTCAAATTAAGTCCTAGTTGTTTATTAAAATATTTGAGATGTGATATAATGACCTTGTTTATTGAAGTATTTTCAAGAACAAATCAATTCTTTTGTTGTTTATTGAAGTATTTTCAAGAACAAATCAATTCTTTTGTTGTTTATTGAAGTATTTTCAAGAACAAATCAATTCTTTTGTTGTTTATTGAAGTATTTTCAAGAACAAATCAATTCTTTTGTTGTTTATTGAAGTATTTTCAAGAACAAATCAATTCTTTTGTTGTTTATTGAAGTATTTTCAAGAACAAATCAATTCTTTTGTTGTTTATTGAAGTATTTTCAAGAACAAATCAATTCTTTTGTTGTTTATTGAAGTATTTTCAAGAACAAATCAATTCTTTTGTTGTTTATTGAAGTATTTTCAAGAACAAATCAATTCTTTTGTTGTTTATTGAAGTATTTTCAAGAACAAATCAATTCTTTTGTTGTTTATTGAAATATTTTCAAAGCCAAATCAAAGATAACAATCAATAACACCAGGTGACAATTCACATCAAGGTTTTCAAAAGCACCAAAATAAATAATATATATACTAACTCATAGACAATTCCATAGAGTATATGGCTTCAGTTTGACCCTGCTAGGGATTGATCAATTTGTTTTTCTACAGATTATCAGCCTGTGGCACCTTGCATTATTAGAAATATTCATAGAAATATGATTTAATTTTTTCTTACTCGGTTACTAAACAGGTTGTTAATTTTTTTTTTTAAACGGAAAATAACTGAGTTGAAAATAATTCACTAAGAGTGTACTAGACGATCCTAAGGAAAGAAGAAGGAAAGAAAGGAAAAAGGAAGGAAGGGAAGAAAAGAAAGAAAGAGAAATGTATGACGATGACCCAATTGAGGGTGGAGATAGGAGTCAGAAAGAGATTTAGGTCAGCGTCTTGGCCGATTTTGAAAGTCATTTTTGGTAAGAATGTCGGTCAGAGCACCTAGCCTACTTTTTGCATGGAAAGACACCTTATCAATTTGGATAAAGAGAAATTTTGGGAACAATGAAACAATTTTAATCAGAGAAAAAGTGTCTTTGGGTTGAGGGGGAGTGACGGTGGAGCGATATACAGACCTGTTAAGAATTGGACACCCACGTTAATAAAGTAGAGACATTTCAATGTAGATAATTAAGATTTTTCGACTATCAGGTAAAACAAAGAGGTAAAAAAGAGAGGACAATTGCTTTTGGCTCACAGAGGGCACCAAGAAGGCGGAAAAGATCCTTTCTAAAGTCAAGACTAATTAGCAGCAGGCTGTTTGACAAAGTCCAGGTGAGAGAAAGCCAAAAGATTGTCATTTTGCGTGCGTGCAAAAAGGGGCAAAATTGGATTTGTTTTTTTAAACAAGAACGATGTAACCACGCCCGCAAACAGAGGGGGGAGAGGATGTTCGATCAATAACAATTGGTCGAATACGATCACGTGACCTGTGGAAGAAAAAGGAAAGAAATGTTTGATCAATAACAATTGGTCGAATACGATCCACGTGACCCGGCGGAAGAAAAGGAAAGAAATGCTTGATCAGGAACGATTGGTTGAAAAGCGGTCACCTGACATACGAGAGACTAAGAGATGGATGCGCGCCCACCAAAGGTACTATGAGGAAGTAGGGGTGAAAACAATAGCGATAATGAGAAGACAGAATTAATGCAGCTTTTGGAATTATCGAGAAAACCCTGACGCCGACAGACCCACCCCAGTTTAAGGCAAGGTCAATATAAGCAGGACCCCAGTCGACAGAAATCAGTTGAGTTGGAGTTGCAGTTGAGAGTTGGACCGCTGGCAGGGATAGAGCCTGAGCGCGCCATCAGGCCCGATTCATCAGCCCCTTTGCGGGCAGAAGAATCCTCAGACAAGAAATCCTTCCAGCCCAAGTCGAAGACAGGAGAACTTCCAGCCCAAGTAGACGAAGAAGAAGATTGCCTGAAAGCCTGAGAAGAATTGGAGATGCAGACAAGCCTAAAGTCGATGAGAGGTTAAAGTTCATCCCCGGACGGCAGCGAGAAAAGAACCCTCAGACAAGAAGAACTTCCAGCCCAAGTAGATGAAGAAGAAGATTGCCTGAAAGCCTGAGAAGAATTGGAGCTGCAGACAAGCCGAAAGTCGATGAGAAGTTAAAGTTCAGCTCCGGACGGCAGTGAGAAGAGACCACCTCAGGCGACAGAGAGTTGCGGCTAAGTTGAAACAAGAAATCTTCCACCAAGTTGAAACAGGAAAACTACCAGCCCAAGCAGGCGAAGAAGAAGAAATACAACTCAAGTCGGAGAGAAGAATCAACTGTAATGATCGATAGAAATTAGCCCCAGTGTCGAACTGAACCACACTCCGACATACATACATGATTCTAGAAAGTAGGTAATTCGACATTTTTTCTATTGTGTGATAGAAGCTTGGTGCCATAGTCCACAGAGCGGGTCGGGAATTGAGAACAATTTTGTTTTTTTATGTAACGGACATTAAGATATAAAAGGTTGTTACCCTTTTTTATCAGCAATTTTGTTTGGTGTCGTGAGTTTTTATTTTATTTGTGTTTTGCCACCCCGTCGGACTCAACTTGTATCGGCCCCGATCCCTGCTGGTCCCGTCTGTCTAAGATCTAAACACAGCGTGGGTAGACAGACGGAGATCGGTATAGTTGCTTTAGTGACCAGGTATTGGAAGCGTAGTCGGGAAAGGCGAGGCTGGTGATCATCTGACCAAAGGGTTGGAGCGGCACGCTTGGACCCAGGAGGAGCGACCAGGAGGAGCGACGTCACCGTTAGCGCCCGAAACAAAGGATCCGACACTGGGCCAGGTGTGTAACCGAACACAGCCTTTTTGGAGTTATTTAAAGCCAAATATATTTTTTGGACTGTGAAAATAATTGTTTTTTGGAGTATTTTTTTGTTCCCCAGTAAATATTGTATTAATAATTTTTTTTTTTAGATAGTGATTTTTCCATATACAAGTCATACTATTTAACCCATATATAGGGGGAGAGATGGATTCATACATTTCCAAAGGGTATTTGCATATAAGTGAATACATCGCACTTAACTGGAATTCAAACTTAGTTCTGATTTCCAGTTGCAAGCTGATATTCATTACACCCACTGTACATTTCCATGTTAGTTACATGTTTTTTACAATGATGTTCACCTTGTATAAGGCCCGGGGTTACAAAATAAGAGGTATAGTTTATGTGAGGAAGATAATGGTTAACCATAGACTTGAACAGGTTAAAATTAAGGGAAAGAATCCTTTTGGGAGTCAGTTCTACAGAGCAGCAGTTCATGGGAGGAAGCTGCTTGAGTAGAGCTTAACATCTCACCAATGGGATACGAAGGGGAGGAGGGTGGTTCGCTACAATCTGCATGTCATGGTGGGTCTTAGATGTGAAGGTTAGAACTAGTGGAACTGAGGAATGTCATCCAATCTGAACACTTTCAATGGAAATAGCAATAGAGCAACAAGAGGCTTGCAACGTTTCATCTGTGAGGAAAGGAGTTGTAGGGTGGAAAATAATTTGTCCCCCACAAGGATGTGGAGATGCTTTTGGACTATCGCTAGTGGAAAGTGAAGATTGGGCAGCTCTTACTCAAATATGACAACAGTCCTCCATATTTCAGCCTGGTCTGCCTCCTAGAAGGGTAGAGGGTAGCACAAGGAGTCAGGTACTTACTGGAGTGGTACAGGGAATCAACCCTTTTTCCAGCATCTTTAATGATGGATCATATGAATGAGTTCCACTTGAGATGTCTGGGTTGAGTTCACATCCCAATAGGTACTCAAGGAACAAAGCCTGCCTGAGGGAATATACGTTCATCGTGACTGATAATAGTTCTAGGTGGATCAGCAAATGTCACTAGTTTCGTTCAAATTTTTAAACAACAAAATTTCTATAATTTCCTGATTTCTATAAAATAAGAATGTCTGATTTTACAAAAAAAAAAAACCCTAATTTTTTTTTCATTATTTACATTATTCGGATTATTGTCCTCATCTTTGTCGCCATATTTATTACAAAGTTTCAACCTTTCAGTATCTGTCTATATTTCTGAGATGAGGTATTATGTACATTATTTACATTATTTGGACTATTGTCCTCATCTTTGTTGCAATATTTATTACAACATTTCGGCCTTTCACTATCTGTCTATATCTCTGAGATGAGGTATTATGTACATTATTTAGACTATTGTCCTCATCTTTCTCGACATATTTATTACAAAGTTTCAACCTTTCAGTATCTGTCTATATCTCTGAGATGAAGTATTATGTACATTATTTACATTATTCGGACTATATAAAAGACACATTAAATAACCCAAAACGATTTGATGTGTGGTTAAACCAAACAAAATCCAAAATTTAGATTGGTTGCCACTCAAAGCTAGAGAGCCCAGTCTACTCTTCTATTTAACCCATAGCTGGAAGGAGACAATATGAAGACAAGGTGGGAATTTGAACTCAGTCTGCCAAATCCACATTCCCTGCCATTTGGAAGACAGACATTACGTAAAAGTTTGACATTCTTTGTCCCTCGTGACATTTTCCTGTCTCTTAATACTTTGCTTAGTTCCTGTAAAACATCTTTTGTTATTTCTATACCCCTTTGGATTTCAGCAATCTCTTTCTGTCTGTAAGTCTCAATTTCCTTGTAGATTCTATTTCTCTAAAATCTTCCTCATTCCTCAGACGTTCTGACTGTTGTATTCGCACAGCATTCATCAATAGAATGTGTTGATCTGTCGTTAAAACAAACTAAAAACGATTAATGCTGTTCTATCAGTAACACTTGACTTAATTCCTGCTTATTGACAATTCTTTCTTCATTTTCCATGCACTTTCTATAGTAAAAACATTAGCAATGCATTTCTATAGTAAAATGTCCATAATAATTTTCATTGCATATATTACAGTTTTACCTCATCAGTAATGTTCATCTTAATTCCTGACCACTGACAATGCCTTTCTTCTTCATTTCCTTCAATTAATTACCTGCACTCCTCAAACAATATTTGCACTCAGAAGAGTCCGGATAAAATAGATAAAAAAAACAAAAACTCACCTTGATATCTCTGTGTGCGATATCCATTTTGTGTAAATGGTTGATAGCCACAGCAATGTCCCGGATAATTGCTGCTGCCTCTGTATTGAAAAAGAAATGACAAGTACTTATAAATACAAATGAAAAATACCAATGCTGCCCAACACAGGTTCAATTCCTGCTGATAAGCAGATTTTCATTAACAATAACTTCTTGATTTCTAGGTCAATTGACATTAATTTCAAATTTTAACAATAACAGGGATGTCAACTCAACACACATACCCACTAAAAATAACATTCATATCAATAAGTAACTCATTATCTTATAATTCTGTTTGTCCCTCCCTTAGCATGACCATTACACTCTGCCAATGCCTCATAAATAATGGGCGATTCCATTTTGATCATCGTGTGAAAAGAGAAAAAAGTAATATCAAAGATGTTATTTGGTTTCAGTGAGAGAAAGAAACAAAGAATGGAAGAGAGATGTGTTTAACATCAGTTTCGGTGAAATAGAAAAAGTTGTCAATTTCAGATCTTTTCATTTGTACCCCCTTACTTCTTAAATAATGACCAGCATTCTTATTTATTATTGTTATTGCAATATTTTGTTAAAGTTGTTAAGCTCAAATATTTAACAATGTGATAGGGGAATTTCTATAGGTATTTTATAGTCGTAGAATTCGCCATGAGCTTATTCAATCATTAACTGAAGAATTAAGATTCATCAAAAACTTTGAAATTTTCATGGGTTAAAAGTAGTAGATATAATGGCACTTTTGTAACAATTAGATTTTATTCCTGACCATGGTTAATACCTTCCTTTGATTTTCAATGCATTTCTGTAGTAAAATCATTAGAAACATATTTCTGCAGTAAAATCATTAGTAACGCATTTCTGTAATAAAACCATTCAAATGTATTTCTGCAGTAAATTCATTAGTAACACATTTACATCCTTGATACAACCTTTCTAATCATACTTCTAAAATATCCCTTTCTTTTCATTGTGTTTTTTTTAATAATTTCACCCCAAGCAGAGAGTTGCAGTGAGTGAAAGTGAAAGAGATGACTGAGAATTGGGAAGATTGAGGAATGGACAAAAGATGAATAGGATTCAAGAGGACAGAAGATAGCAATTGACATTGCATTTAAATTTTTGAAGATTGTGGCTATCAGGGAAGCAAGTAAATGGAAAGGAGTGTCACAAAAGAAACTGTTTTGGTATAAAAGTGACAATTGTCTTTAGTTATTTCAACAGTAAAAGAGTGGGACTTAGATGCCAATCTAGTTGCACGATTAGCACGCTTAAATTCCTGCAGTCGGGGCACCAAGGAAAAAGCTTGTCAAAGCAGTTACCATGAAAATATTTGTAGAAAAGACAGAAGGAAGACAAGTCACATCATATTTACAAATAGACAATAGATACATATATAATTAACATATGTTGAGTCATATCAGCAACATTTTGCACCAAGATCAACATTTAGCAATAGTGGGCTATTACAAATTCTTCTGTGAAACAAAAACAGACAACCAAACATAATGCCTCTAGCATTTAACCATATTTCTGAAGTTACTATCTCATAAGTTTTCTAGTATAATATAGATAAATATTAAATTGCTTTGACTGAACATAATAGTAATAATAAAAACAATGACATTTTCTATTTCTTTAAAGCATGATTGATTGATTTGTTTTTTTATGGCTTATCAACCTTTTGCAGGTTATTTAAAGCCAGAGAATATTTTTAGATTGTAGGAATTTTTGAAAGATAATAATGATTTAATGGTACAAGCCCTACAAATAAACCCATGGCTAGGGTGGGGAAAAAAAAAGAGGTGGATTCTTACCTTTCCCAAGAGTATTTATATATAAGTGAATATAACAAACCAGACTGGAATTGGAACTCAGTTCTCTGATTCACAATTTTGAGCCATTATCCAAACATGCCTTAATTAGAAGCATGCATGACACATCAGAGATGAAGTGTCAAAATGGGTTCAATTTCATATTTCATCATCACATTTTTTAGTCCTATCATCAAAACTATTCTTGTGGAAAAATAAAAGATAAAACTTAAAGCAAAAACTGTAAAGTCATTGTGTACTGATAAGAGGAATGCAAATATTTGGCTGTGATTAAATCAGATTGAAATTCAGTTAACAATGAATTATTTTCATTTTTCTTTGCTGTCAATATTTCAGGCTTCATCATTTTGTGATAATGACAGGTTATGAATGTCAATAAATAATTCGGATGCATTTCTATAATAAAAATCATTTCCAATGAACTTCTATACATACTTTTAGTATTTGCTGTGTCAGTCTATATGTAATCATTTGAGTGAATGAAGGTTTTGATTGATTTCTTCAATAAATAATTCGGATGCATTTCTATATAAAAATAAAAATCATTTCCAATGAGTTTCTATATGTAATATATGATTACCTTTAAGTATTTGCTTTCTATAATAAAATCATCAATGAACTTCTGTCATTCTGTGTCACTCTATATGTAATCATTTGAGTGAATGAAGGTTTTGATTGATTTCTTCAATAAATAATTTGGGTGCATTTCTATAATAAAAATCATTTCCAATGAACTTCTATACATACTTTTAGTATTTGCTGTGTCAGTCTATATGTAATCATTTGAGTGAATGAAGGTTTTGATTGATTTCTTCAATAAATAATTTGGGTGCATTTCTATAATAAAAAAATATAATGAAAAATCATTTCAGTCAATGAATTTGAGTGAATGAAGGTTTTGATTGATTTCTTATAAACATACATTTTTTAAAAGTATTTGCTATACATCTTTTAGTCTATATGTAATCATTTGAGTGAATGAAGGTTTTGATTGATTTCTTCAATAAATAATTTGGGTGCATTTCTATAATAAAATCATTTCCAATGAACTTCTATACATACTTTTAGTATTTGCTGTGTCAGTCTATATGTAATCATTTGAGTGAATGAAGGTTTTGATTGATTTCTTCAATAAATAATTTGGATGCATTTCTATAATAAAAATCATTTCCAATGAGTTTCTATACATACTTTTAGTATTTGCTGTGTCAGTCTATATGTAATCATTTGAGTGAATGAAGGTTTTGATTGATTTCTTCAATAAATAATTTGGGTGCATTTCTATAATAAAAATCATTTCCAATGAACTTCTATACATACTTTTTAGTATTTGCTGTGTCAGTCTATATGTAATCATTTGAGTGAATGAAGGTTTTGATTGATTTCTTCAATAAATAATTTGCATTTCTATAATAAAAAATCATTTCCAATGAGTTTCTATTTACCTTTAGTAATATAAATCATTTTGAATGAAGGTTTTGATTGATTTCTTCAATAAATAATTTGGGTGCATTTCTATAATAAAAATCATTTCAATGAACTTCTATACATACTTTTAGTATTTGCTGTGTCAGTCTATATGTAATCATTTGAGTGAATGAAGGTTTTGATTGATTTCTTCAATAAATAATTTGGGTGCATTTCTATAATAAAAATCATTTCCAATGAACTTCTATACATACTTTTAGTATTTGCTGTGTCAGTCTATATGTAATCATTTGAGTGAATGAAGGTTTTGATTGATTTCTTCAATAAATAATTCGGATGCATTTCTATAATAAAAATCATTTCCAATGAGTTTCTATATGTACCTTTAGTATTTGCTGTGTCAGTCTATATGTAATCATTTGAGTGAATGAAGGTTTTGATTGATTTCTTCAATAAATAATTTGGGTGCATTTCTATAATAAAAATCATTTCCAATGAACTTCTATACATACTTTTAGTATTTGCTGTGTCAGTCTATATGTAATCATTTGAGTGAATGAAGGTTTTGATTGATTTCTTCAATAAATAATTTGGGTGCATTTCTATAATAAAAATCATTTCCAATGAACTTCTATACATACTTTTAGTATTTGCTGTGTCAGTCTATATGTAATCATTTGAGTGAATGAAGGTTTTGATTGATTTCTTCAATAAATAATTTGGGTGCATTTCTATAATAAAAATCATTTCCAATGAACTTCTATACATACTTTTAGTATTTGCTGTGTCAGTCTATATGTAATCATTTGAGTGAATGAAGGTTTTGATTGATTTCTTCAATAAATAATTCGGATGCATTTCTATAATAAAAATCATTTCCAATGAGTTTTCTATATGTTTTAGTATTTGCTGTGTCAGTCTATATGTAATCATTTGAGTGAATGAAGGTTTTGATTGATTTCTTCAATAAATAATTTGGGTGCATTTCTATAATAAAATCATTTCCAATGAACTTCTATACATACTTTTAGTATTTGCTGTGTCAGTCTATATGTAATCATTTGAGTGAATGAAGGTTTTGATTGATTTCTTCAATAAATAATTTGGGTGCATTTCTATAATAAAAATCATTTCCAATGAACTTCTATACATACTTTTAGTATTTGCTGTGTCAGTCTATATGTAATCATTTGAGTGAATGAAGGTTTTGATTGATTTCTTCAATAAATAATTTGGGTGCATTTCTATAATAAAAATCATTTCCAATGAACTTCTATACATACTTTTTAGTATTTGCTGTGTCAGTCTATATGTAATCATTTGAGTGAATGAAGGTTTTGATTGATTTCTTCAATAAATAATTTGGGTGCATTTCTATAATAAAATCATTTCAATGAACTTCTATACATACTTTTAGTATTTGCTGTGTCAGTCTATATGTAATCATTTGAGTGAATGAAGGTTTTGATTGATTTCTTCAATAAATAATTTGGGTGCATTTCTATAATAAAATCATTTCCAATGAAATGAACTTTTAGTATTTGCTGTGTCAGTCTATATGTAATCATTTGAGTGAATGAAGGTTTTGATTGATTTCTTCAATAAATAATTTGGGTGCATTTCTATAATAAAATCATTTCCAATGAACTTCTATACATACTTTTAGTATTTGCTGTGTCAGTCTATATGTAATCATTTGAGTGAATGAAGGTTTTGATTGATTTCTTCAATAAATAATTCGGATGCATTTCTATAATAAAAATCATTTCCAATGAACTTCTATACATACTTTTAGTATTTGCTGTGTCAGTCTATATGTAATCATTTGAGTGAATGAAGGTTTTGATTGATTTCTTCAATAAATAATTTGGGTGCAATGAATATACATACTTTTAGTAAGTCTATATGTAATCATTTGAGTGAATGAAGGTTTTGATTGATTTCTTCAATAAATAATTCGGATGCATTTCTATAATAAAAATCACAATGAACTTCTATACATACTTTTAGTATTTGCTGTGTCAGTCTATATGTAATCATTTGAGTGAATGAAGGTTTTGATTGATTTCTTCAATAAATAATTTGGGTGCATTTCTATAATAAAAATCATTTCCAATGAACTTCTATATGTACCTTTAGTATTTGCTATATCACACTAATTTATTCTAGTCTTTTGTTATAATTGTTTATTTTTAGTTATTTTTGTTAATCTCTTATTGCACCCAGTTTATAAATTTAACTTTATCATAGATTTATATATACCAAAAAAAAAAAAAAGTAGCATTTGTTAATATCTACTGTTTTGGGCATGTGCTGGAAGTTTTGTGACATATTACCCAGTGGTTAAGAGAAAATTACAATGTAAGTTTAAAGCCCCCTAACAAATCCAAGGTTATGCTTAAATATGTTTAAAATGACTTTGCACAGAGAATACAAGGTTACCTCAACATTGGTTGAGCAAAATTATTTTTGAAGTGCTTACCTCTCTCAGTAAATGCTGAATTTGCTCTCTCCTGAATTCTTGTGAAAAGTTCACCTCCTTTCATGCTGTCAAAGAAGACAAAAAGAAAGTTTATATAAAGGAACTGTTGAGTGTGAAATACTGTAGCATTTCCCAAATTTCATAAATTTGTAATGAATGCATAAAAAGAAATCTGTTTCCAACCAAGCCAAGAATACAGATAAAATTCTAGTAACATTCATTGTTTTCCCTTAATATCCCCAATTGAATTGGGGGTGAAAACAGGTTTTAAATGCTATCAAATATGATAACTTTGACACTGTTATATTCATAATCATATCACAATATCTTCCTCAATAGTGGGTCTTATACCGTATCAGTAAACATCAGTTCTCCTACAATCACCAGTTAAGCAACATCAAGCCTGCTCAGTACTTAAATGGGTGACAGCTTGGGAATACCAGGTGTTGTAAGCTTGGGTGTGCAGTTGGTATAATAGATAATGGCAGAGCCAAGTTCCAATTCCAGTTGTGTTCATTATATTCACTTACATGGAAATCCCCTTGGAAAAGGTATGTAACCATCCCTTCTTCCTCCTAGCTATGGGTTAATTAGTAAGACTTTTATCAGTAAATCATTATTAACTCTAAAAATCCTTACTATCTAAAAAATATTTTCTGGCTTTAAATAACCTGCACAGGTGTAAAAAAAAAAAACCAAATAAATCAATTTTTAATAGCAACAAACTTATTGTGCAAACAAAATATGCTATAATATTGTCAGCAAGAAAAAATATCAAACCAATGATTACAATTTGGTAATTGTTTTATACTAATGTTCAACCAATGCAGGGCCCAAGAGCAACTCAAGGTAGAGGATTAATGAACAAGGCTGTTGTTAGGGCATACAAGAAGGGTGTAAAAGGTGCATATTATGAGGATATGTAGGATAGATAATGCTTGAAGAGGTTTAGTGATCGGAGACGCATTCTTTCAGGTGTTTGTTCCATAATGCAGTTGTTCTGAGGAAGAAGGTGCCTGATTGGAACTTCCTGGTAATAATGGAAGATTTTTAAATACACCAAAGTATTTTCCTTATCAGAAATATTACATTTAATCTATTAGCTTGGGATTAAAACTAAAATAAAAGCTTCAAGAAACATTTTTTAATTTTATAAAATTCATTTTAAACCTTAGATATCCAGATTCTGTGGAGGTACCATATATTTTCAAATAATAGGAAAGAACAGTCAGATTTATAACCCAAAGTTCTTTAGTATTTATTTTTTTTATTTTTAAAAAACAGTGCTCAATACAAAGGAGAGCATAATATAATTATTTTGTTAAAAAATATGTCCCCATTGCGACACAAATTATTGTTTCAAAACCAAAACTTAAATCTTAAAAATTGACTTTTTTCTACCTTTCTTTCCTCCTCCTTAACTGATTATTTTTTTTATTTCAAGAATTTATCATCTATTGACTGTTTGAAAAATCCTGTAAATTTAAATTTACAAGGTGAAAATGATCATTTACATAATGGTATCTAAATTCCAATTGTATGAAATATATTGCTCTGTTTATTATAAAAACATTGCGCTCTATGTGTGAATCAATTTGAATATTTAATATTTTATATTGTGTTAATAGGATTCACTTAGATTATATACCAACAGATTACTACCTGTGTGTGTGTATATATTAGTCCTCCATTATTAGGCGAACCAGTTTACCCCCATACCCAGTGTACCGCAAGTGGGTGGTGGACCCCAAGATTTTGCTCTCATACCCTCAATATCACTCACTTTTTTTTTTAGAGATTCCACCCTATTTTACCAATTTCTGGGCAATCTTCTTCACAATAGACAGAACAAACAGTGATCATCAGATGGGTCCTAATTTGTTTTAATAATTACACACCTTTTTCATATGTTTTACTCTGATTTTGATGATCAAATGGCCCAAATTTTGAAAAATTTTAACACCTCAGCCGTTTCACACCTAATCTAATTGTATTGGTAATAATTACACATGATTACTTCATATTTATATTTCATGCACAATCAAAGAGTTCCTGTAATATCAGACTAATTAACAGAAGTCAATCTCTGCGATTGGAAGGGGGTATAAATAGGAGTATTTTTCTCTGGTTGATTCTGTTCAATTTGACAGTCTAACAGTAGACATGAAGAATCTCTCATAAATAAACAAATATAAATAGTGTGTAGTAATTAGGGGTTGCAATCAGGAATTCCTGGGAATAAATTTCCCCAAAAAGTTATATTTATGTATAAATTTACATGCTTAATTCTAAAATAACAAAGAAATTTTGATAAAATCTACCTTTCTGGAGTTATCAACAATAAAATTTCAAACTCATTCGCATTACTGGCCTTGTTTGCATATATTTGCTGTCAAAGAGACATTCACTTGTCTCAATTATTGCACACACACTGAAGCAAACAACACCAATAATGGCTGCCACACCATAGCCAACAACACAAATGAGTCCGAACTTTTATTGTCGATAACTCCAAAATGGTAGATTTTATAAAAATTTCTTTGTTATTTTTGAATTAGGCATGTAAATTTAGAATAAAAAGTAACTGTTTGGGAAATTTTTATTTTATACTTAGCGCAGGGCTAAAAAGGCAAATTACCTGAAATTTCTTATGGCATTGGCATAAATTAGTATAAATTTTTGAGGTTCTTTTCAAGCCATTATCTACAGTATATATCACGAAATAAGGCAAATAGGACCCAAAAATCAGTTAGGTGTTTGAAGAGTAAGCGTTCACAAAGCAAATTTGTGGCTTTCACAACACAAAGAAAGAGAATCACTTGTAACACGTCAGGAAAATAACTCACGAACGCCGTAGCCAAAACTGCCCGAATTTTCCTCCGGGGTACTTGATTATCTCGTTCACTACAGTGTTCAACCTCCTATTATCATCCACACACCTCCACAGCTACCTGCAGTGCAGGCTGACCATCTTGGACCTCAATATATACCTATACATATATGCATATACATATACATATATATATATATATATATATATATATATATATATATATATATATATATATATATATATATATATTTGTTAAATATAACAAATAATGTCTATTATGTTTAATCATGAGCCTTTCTAAACTTTGTATAGTGACTTTAATTTCAGGAGAAAATAAAGACAAAAATTGTCCAACATTTGGATATTTTTTTATTATGCTGTTCTTCGATTTAAGCTTTCAGCTCATATGAGCCATCTTCTGAGTGGTTATGTTGGACAATAGATAGAATGGTCTATGGTCAAGGCAATTTATTCTAGTAAATTTGATATCATGTCTCTGCACCGAGGCAGTCCACAGCTTTCTGTCCTACTCTCTCCAAAAGGTTGCCGACCCCTGTGATAGACAAAGCTGTGTTCAGAAAATAAATGAACATAATGTAATAAACAAATAATGGATTTTATTTATTAATTTGACAGATTTCTATTACTTCAAATGTTATTTTTAGTGGATGCCCATTTTTGAGTAGACACTGCGTTTATTTAAAGCATATTTATTCTGTCTGCCAGTCTGAAAAAATGACACCTTGATCAATTGTGAAACACTCACATCGAAGCACTCTCACATCACTGGATCAGACAATGATTTTTTCCTGTAAAGAGGAATGCAGGTTTTAGTCCTGCTGATGGGCACATCTTTAAGTTTTCTTGAGAGCACAGGCATGTAAATAAAATAAACAATGTTTAAAAAAAAATGGAGTGTCTACTCAAATATGGGTATCTGCTAAAAATAACATTTGAAATAATTATATATAACATACATATATATAACAGGTTCAAACACTAATACGCCATGGTTATAATTTATTACATTGGAATCGTAATCACGATCCAATTCGTCAGACCTACAAATTCGAAAAGAAACTAGCAAATATAACTCTTTCTTTTTGAATTTGTAGGTCTGATGAATTGGATCGTGATAACGATTCCAATGTAATAAATTATAACCATGGAATATTATTATTTGAGCCTTTTATATTCTTGCTCTGTCCTGGACATTGAGTTCTACCTGGATTCTATCCTCTTGAAAATTTATATATATATATATATATATATATATATATATATATATATATATATATATTGACCACTAATATTATCAATGTATATAACTGGTGTAACAGCAAAATTGTCCAATTGTTAGCTTAAGCTTTGAACTGTTGTATCTTAGAAATGATTAAAGATATCTTACTGGAATTCTCCAAGGCTTTTATAACACTTTTGGACCCTATTTTGAGCAATAAGAATGTATTACTACTGTCCAAGCATAACAGAAGAATTGTGATGAAATCGATCATAAATGAAAATGACATGTTCATCATTAATTAATCGTAGCTAATCAGCGCAAGCTCATAAAGGATTGATATAAAGTTCAAATATATATATATATATTATTTCAGGATCATTTTCCAACTTATTCAAAATAATGTTTGCCCTGTCTAACCTTCTAACTTTCTGTCCTGGAGTAACAAGGTGCCTCACGCATTTTACGTACAATTTCATTTTCAAGTTTTTTTTCACTGCTCTTTGGACTATCATAGTTGGGAAAATAAAAGGAATGAGAAAAACTATGGCACCTTCCTTAATGAGTTTAATAACAACATTAAGAAATTTATCTGTGAATTTGAGAGGATTAAAATAAAAACAGACATAATATGTCTAGATTATTCAACTAAACATGCTTAAATGAAGATATGCTGTCTACATAAGACATATATATATATATATATATATATATATATATATATATATAAATATATATAAAGAAAAAAGGAAAAATTAGCTGATGCATTTTGTCCTCTGAGGAACTTTATCATTTACCTTGATAAAGTCCCTCAAAGGATGAAACACATTGCCTAAGATAAGTTTTCCTTTTTGTCTTTATTTATAATCCTTTTACAGATATATTCAATCTGAAGTTTTTATATACACCTAAGTAAATTACCCACCTGAAGGTGGGGAATAGATTACAAGAAAAAGTGCTCAATGTTTCACGACAGAGAAAATATATTATTC